AAGTCTAGCTTAAAATCACCAACGATTTTATCATGCATTTCATTGCAATGTGGACATTTATCGATATAGAGACCCAGACCCACTGTTCAATAAATCACAAACATTAAATTTTTTTTTTTTTTTTTTTCTTTTTATTTTCTGTTTATTTCTGTTGGCTACTATAAAATAAATATCGCCGGTCACATATTAGAAATATTATACACACAAAGGGAAATTAAGCTTTGCGATCAATGGTCACCAGACTCGTTGAATGACGTAAAATCAGAAATGCATTAATTATTGTGATAGTGATGATGACAGTAATGCGAATATGGAGTGGGTAAGAATGATGCTGATTGGCTACTGGTAATCTAAACTAAGTGAAGATGTCCGGTATGAGTATATGCTTAGACCTAATAAGAGTATATTTTGTTTCTGAGATGAGGTGACCTTAGACAATCGGTCTATGCTCTGTGATTTACTTGCAGTGAATACGATGGATAATTTACCAATGTATATTGAAACCAAAGACAATCAGAGAAGAGGTAAACTTTGAGTATTAAACTCTTTTGTACGTCCTTCTGCGATCTATGTTCCCTTTTTCTGGCTCTTGTATAATATTTGTACTTAAATGAAGGTTAGAAAATAGCAATATTTCACATGGGGAATATTTCTCTTATATTGTCATGTTAATTTCCTCACTAGTTTTGTAACGACCTGGTTCTCGAAAAGCAAATATGATTATCATTGGCACTGATTGTCGTTGTATCAAGTATATTTCATCTTTGTCGAATGTTTGTTTTCGAATACGATGGTTCAATATACTTGCACGTTTAAAATTCTCCACTTTCTTATGAATAAAAAATTACAGAACTAAAATAAGGCAATTATAACTATGCAGAGATATTTTTATTATCTGCGAATTGTCATATCTTGGAACGTTGTTTCCCGTTGCCTTCAGGATATTTATTATCTGCGAATTGTTATCTTGGAACGTCGTTTCCCGTTGCCTTCAGGATATTTTTATTATCTGTTCATATCTTGGAACGTCGTTTCCGTTGCCTTCAGTCATATCTTGAACGTCGTTTCCCGTTGCCTTCAGGATATTTTCTTTCATATCTTGCGTTTTCCAAAATTTTTTATTTCTGCTAAAAATATTTTTTTTATCTGCGAATTGTTTTTGGAACGTCGTTTCCATTCAATATTTTTTTTTTATCTGCAATTGTCTAAACGTCGTTTCCATTGCCTTCAGGATATTTTTTATTATCTGCGAATTGTCATATCTTGGAACGTCGTTTCCGTTGCCTTCAGATATTTTTATTATCTGAATTGTCAGAATATTTTTTAAATCTGCATGAATTGTCATATCTTGGAACGTCGTTTCAATATTTTTTATTATCTGCGAATTGTCATATCTTGGAACGTCGTTTCCCGTTGCCTTCAGGATATTTTTATTATCTGCGAATTGTCATATCTTGGAACGTCGTTTCCCGTTGCCTTCAGGATATTTTTATTATCTGCGAATTGTCATATCTTGGAACGTCGTTTCCCGTTGCCTTCAGGATATTTTTATTATCTGCGAAATATCTTGGAACGTCGTTTCGTTGTCCTCAGGATATTTTTCTTTCGCTTAAAATATTTCCTAAAAATATGGCAGCTTTTTTCTTCCATAAATTAGCAGCAAAAGTGACAAAAAATGAAACATTAGCATTTAAAATCGAAAGTCATTGACTGATAAGAAGTAATTCTTTAAATCTCAAGATTCCTGTCAATATCCCTCGTAAGTGTTTATATAAAAAATCGAGTTATGAAGTCCTGTGACTTCACATTGGCACGATGGATATGTATGCAAGAGTGCGTGGAACTTTTTATGTCATTCAAATGTAAATTTGAGGTATTTGACTTTTTATATCCTTTATCCATTGTGCCATGAGGACACATGTCACAGTGGATAAAGGCGTTAGTTAGATCCAGTGACAGGACCAAAAGAATTCAATACCTGGTTAAGGCGATAGAGAACTTGGAGAGGGGAATTAACAGGAGATAACTGATAAATGACATCCATTAGACATGGCACGTGGAACTAGAACAGTCTACGGTGAGCAAAATAAAGGGTTCAGTTCGACATTCCAACCACCTGAAGAAGGCCGGAGCATACAACGGCCGAAGCACCTTTATAAATATGGCGACAAAGATGAGGACAATAGTCCGAATAATGTAAATAATAAAAACAGATAAATAATTCAATAATCGTATTCACAAATGGAGCTGTCACATTACATTATTAATGTAAATTTGGGAAATATCACGTTGGCTAAAATGCCTGTTCAGTTATTAAGTAATTTTTTTACTTTAAGCGAACAAACTTTTTGGCCAACCCAGTATTTATGTATTGATTTTAAGTTATATTTTGTTTCTTGTAGTTAATGGATATAATTTTAACTTTTACAGATTTTAATTATCGTTTGTAAATATATGTATATATTCACAAACCCGGCAAAATAAAATTAAATATATATATATATATATATATATATATATATATATATATATATATGATAGCTGGATATTTAGGCAGCAATCTTTCCTTTATGCATGTTTCGTTAAAATGACAGACAAGGTACTACGGTTAAGCTTTTTATTTAATTTTTTTCTTAAAAAAAATTAACCGTAATATTAATTTTCTTAAAACAAAAGCTTAACTGTAGTAGTTTGTCTGTTTTTTTAATGAAACCTGCATATATATATATATATATATATATATATATATATATATATATATATATATATATATATATATATATATATATATTAAAAGCATGTTAAAAATCCTGAAATAAATGCAATTATGTTTCAGCACCATAAATGGCGAGTGAATGATTAATATAATTTCAAAAAGCAGAATACTTTTTCAAAAAAAGGCTTGTGCTCTTTTCCGTGATTAACCAATCGAATGTGACCTACGCTAAATTCAAATTGACCGAAAAAAAATTAATATAGGCCATGACATGAAATTGCCTGCATATAAATCCTCGACCATTTCCTGATGGGCAGATACAGATTGCTACATTATTTCCTAAGATGTATCAAAGTCTAACGATCAAGTTTGCTAACAAGTAAAAAAAATAAAGAGATGGGGCGATAATTTTACATAATACTAACTAGTTATATGCTTGTTCAACTTCTTACATAAAATTTTGTAGTCGACAAATAAAAGGCCCCTTTAAGAAATTTAACCATTCTAATTTAGCTGTACTCTATATTGAGCCCGCTTTTAAATTAAATGTTACATACAGTGGAATTATACTCTACTTATTCTCAATGGAATAAACGGTCCTACCATTGGACTTATATTTTAGTAAGTAAACCATGCCACGACAAACAATCAATCACGTCAGCAGTTTGGGATGCATATGTCTGTACATGTATGAAGAAGAAGCTTTTTTTTTCTTTTTTTTTTCTTTTTTTTCCTTAGGTGCTACTTATTTGATAAAGTAAATTATTATTCGGTTCATGCTTTACATGTTCAAAATAGATATCTGGTGGCTGTGTCAGGGGATAAAGTAACAGAAATTCCCCTGTCCGTTAAAATCGCCAGCACTTTCCTCCAATATTATTTCTTGCGTAATCCCACCCTTTACCTATGTTTTATTCGCTAATATTTTAACATTTCCGTACAAAAATGCAAAAATGCCTGAAATCATTTTCGGACAAAAAATATAATTTCAGTTTGGAATATAAAAACTTTCTGTAAATACATCGGGAAAAGTCGTATTCTTCTTCTGTTATTATTATTAAAAGTCGTAAAATTATGGAAAAAATCGTAATGACATCAGAATCACATTAGAAGAGAAAATGTGGCCGTATTTTTTAGTTCATACGCTAAACAGATAAAATTAATTTTGTCCATTCAACCGACTCCCAAAGCAGAATGCTGTCTTATTAGATTCGCTACCTGAAGATGCATATCAATCGATAATAGGCTATTCGCTAATCCATAAATTCTTAGAAAGATCGACTGTTCTCAATTTTGGCATTGACATATGGCTCGTAATTCATGTACTCGATTTCTCATTTCAGGCTTTTTTTAATAAAATACAAAAATATTCGTTCATAATATTCATCTCGTTTTAATTTTATTTTTATTTATTCTGAGAATTTTTGTTAGTTAATTGTTTTGTGGGTAATGAAAATAACTATCAAATTCAACTTTTTTCATAGTTTTTTATAGTCACTTTCTTTTTATATATATATATATATATATATATATAGAGAGAGAGAGAGAGAGAGAGAGAGAGAGAGAAAGAGAAAGAGAGAGAGAGATTTGCCATTTCGATATACACATGCGTGTAAAATATTAATGCACATGTAAAACCCGATTTCATCATACTCAGGAAGGGAACATATGTTTTCAAGTTCTTTGAATTTGAGAGAAATAAATTATTTAACTATTTCGCGTTTTTTGTTTTCCTCTTGTAAATAGCAACTATGAAAATTCCACGCGAAATCTTTGCAATATAATCATACAAGAAAAACAAAAATAAATGAAAATAAATATTCCGTTACAAAAATGTTTTTGCATACAATCAGCGTAACGCTTCTTATTTGTGTGAAATCAGCGAGCTGAATTAAAATCTCGGCCTAGTCTCTCTAATGCGCTTGGGAATAGCCTGAATCCATGTATACTCTTCCAGCTATAAGTTAAATAGTTGGGCAGAGTTGGATCTGTAGCCTTAGATGTCAGCCAATTTAATAACACGACTTTGATTAAATCTGTGAAGAATCAGGATCACTTACGTCCTTCAGGAGAGTGCAACGAATATTTTAACAGTGTATAACATGTCAGATACGGATGTGAATTAACACCGAAATATTAACCAAAACACATTCAATTTCCTTTTAAATATATTTATTGATATATTCTTCAAACAGTCTAACCTGATAAACGTCCACTGCGCGATCTTTTTTATGTAAACATTTATAAATGAAATATTTAAATCTCTTTCTTATTTTACTTTCAGACTAACGGAGTTCGGAATGGGAACTTGTATGGCAGGAGCAGTTCACTTGATTATCTCTCACAAAATTCGGACTTCGACAAATCGAAAAGGACGTTATAAACTATTCGAATCCATTGAAGATATTTGGAAGCGGAAAAGCCTTGTGTGACTGATTGATACAGCGAGCCATTGATCTGTTTTAACTGATCGATGTATCGTTTTATTGAATTGGTGATTTAGTGATTCCGTAAATATGGTATTTATGTGTTTCGCACACACAGACAAATGCACTCTCATACGCAAAGATCTCCAAATACACAAAGTGGGAATAACATGTTCACATTCAAATGTATAACCTACGAAAACACACGTAGTTCACGTACAGTTTTTCTAACTGTACGTGAACACACGCAAAGGCACACAAGCATATCCATGAACCCATACAGATAAACACCTATACAAGCTGATATATTTAGGTATAAATACATATGAACAAACTCAAATTTTTTAAGAGATAATTGTATAGACTAATGTGTGGATTCACATCGTCTTATCATAAAACAAATACACAGATATATACATGACCAAGAACACGTTTATCGTTGACAATCTTTAGCATTAAAGAGAGTTTTGAATGTTGAATGCTTTTCCAAACAATTCAATTTGTTTTATACGTTTGTATAAGAATACACATATTATTTGGTGTGCAGATATGTAAGGGTTATAAGTTGCTTGATATGCAAATGCAGACATATTTATAGCAATTACGTTCACTTTCGCACTAATAACCTCGGGAAAAATTGTATGCATCCATCTCTTCTTCCCCTTCCTATCTCTGGTTTAAGTAGCAGGGCTAACTGCCTTCTCTTGCTTTGAATTGACAACCAGTGTAAGAAAAGGAAAAATTCTGAATTCAAAACCAGCCGAAGAGGAATGAATTTCGTCAGTCTAGCTTACCCTAAACACACCACCTGCCTTGGCTGCAAAATATGTCGTGCTCTTATGTCACTAACAGATTACGGGACTCGTGACTTGAGGTGACGCGACGGTCTCTATGCTAGCGTGCTTGGTGTGATAATATATTTGCATCAGGTTTCATGATCTTTTACATATGTATGTGCCAATTTATGTGTATCTGAGATTTTCTTCTCACACGAGCCCATGTGTATGTAGGTGCGCGCGTGCGTGTCTTTGTGTATGTGTGTGTATGTATGTGCGTATGCATGTCTGTGTGTTTTGTGCATTATTAAATCAACACATACTGTACAAACTAACTTTCTATCACAGACAAACAAGAACATTGCCATAAATACCATAACGAGTGGGTGCTCAAAATATTAAAATATATTGTAATTTTTTATATATTGAATAAAATGTATGTGTCTACTTTGGAAAATTTCTTGTTGGTTTGGCATCTTTGTTTTCGTGCAAATTATGGCTCGTTGTATGACTTCAATTTACCATTCAATTTATTTAACGCTAATAGAATTTTGAAAAATGGACGCCTTGAAACTTTTAACTACACTCGTTTGAAGAGACCGCAACAAAGAAATACTGATTTTGAGTCCATCAATCTTGTATTCCAAGTCCAGTTCTGTTTTGAACAGGAAAAGCTTTATTTTCAGTAATGACGGAATCGATAAGTTATCCTCAACTGGTGACTTATAATGCATTGAAAGCTAATGGAATGTTGACTTTAGATAGAACGATTCAGTTTCACTTATGTAGGAGCTACTACACGAATTGCATTTATGTCATACTGACACAACTCTTTTTCTTTGAATACAAATACATATTCACTCATTAACAGTAAAAACAGTATTCAAACCGGCTAAGAGTAAGAATTGTATATTCTAATCCCCAGTTTTGAAATCATAACAGATATAAGTAAAATAAATCATAATTTCCTCATTGGAAGTTAAATGGTAAACAATCTTGTAAAATATCGCGTAGAAATATCGTCAGCATGAGAATTCACTATATACCAAAAAAAAAAAAATTCAAAATACACTCCTTGGAAGTTCACACACTTCTCTCAGAAGTTCTACCACTGCTGGTAATATCTCTGGAACGCCTTCTCTGGAATGATATAGATCTCCGTCGTCGTTTTTCTCATAATTTCCTATTTTGTGATAACAACAACAAAGATGAGGAAAATAGTCCGCTTGTAAATACTGTAAGTAATGATAACTCTTAATCCCAGAAATTCAAAGATCTAGTTTTTCAAAGAATATCATTTTGTTTCAATTTGAAGATTCCATTGAAGAACACAACTGATAGTCACCATACAAAATTTATTCCTTTGTCTACACACTGTCTATTTGTCTCTCTGTCTCTATTTCTCTTCGTATGTCTGTAACCATTTACCATCCAAATTTTCTGCTAAATCTATCATTACTTGCATTCTAATGTCTATGTTAGGTTTTGAGAAAAGTCGCGATTCATGATTCTGAAGTTACTTTTTCAAACAAAATCTACGCACTCAGAAGATGGCGGCGGTATATGATTCCTTTCCGCAACAGTGAGTAGAACGTACTTGTAAATTTTACAATGCATATATATATATATATATATATATATATATATATATATATATATATATATATATATATATATATGTGTGTGTGTGTGTGTGTGTGTATGTGTAATTTCTATATATATATATATGCGCGGTACTATATATATATATATATATATATATATATATATATATATATATATGATATTCAATCACAATGATAGCATTCATCCTTTTCAGCGTCCTTAAATATTTCCAATCTGCTTCCCCGAATGGCTTGATCTGTGATGACAGGAAGCTGAAGAGCCTGAAGAAAAATTTCTTTTTATATGACATGAATACCTGGACCATTCATTCCGGCCAATTCTTCAAGCCCAGATTCAAGATGTTTTATTCGAAGAATCTTTTATTCGTATCTCCTAGCATTAAGATTTCATCATACGTCAAAGATGCGTTGCATATAATGAATGCAAAATCGCTGAAGGTAACAGAAAGAGGAAATCGCAAAGCATGTATCAGCCCCCATTAAGCTACTTCTTTTTATTCTTGTTTTTCTTTCTCTACAAAATTGCTTCTCTTTGATTCATTTGTTGCTTTTTTATCTCTATGGTTTCTTTCCATTTTTTTGTTCTCACTAATTCTTTCACTTCCAATCTTATTTTACTTGTCTCTCACTCTTTCTTTCTTTCTACTTCGCTTTAATTGCTTTATCTTTTGTACAGAATAACGATATATTCATTTTCTTTTTTCTTTGTTTATTTTAAATAAATTTACTACATTCAATTTTTTATATATTTATTTTTTTTTTTACTTCATTAATGTTTCTAGTTTTCAACTAACCACATTCTTTTTGTTTGCTTTCTTATTTATTTTGTTGTTTTCTTTCATTGTTTCCTTTTTATTTTCTTTTTGGTTAGATTTTGTTTTCATATTTTGTTCTTATTTTATATTGTTTTCTTCCTTTCGTATTTTTTTCTTTCTTTCTTTTCCTACTGTTTCATGTAAACGTCCTTTTCTTTCTCTCATTCTCTATTCCCGCTGTTCTTTGATAGCTATCTTCCTTCTCTTATACTTCATTATTCTAGTAACCTTTACATCTGTATTTTAATGATTCGCTCTTGATTCTTTCTTAAATTTCATTCGCCATTCATTCATTTTTATTTTGCTTTCTTTTTATTTCTTTCATTTTTTACATATTTATTGGCATTTTTTCTCTATGTCAGTGTTATCTCTCCTATTTCCTTTATCAATCTCTCTCCCACTCTCTTTCTCTCTCTCTCTCTCTCTCTCTCTCTCTCTCTCTCTCTCTCTCTCTCTCTCTCTATTTATTTCCATTCATATTTCTTTTTGGTGGCTTATTTGCCACATTTCTCTTTACTTTTTCACTTACTTTGTCTCTTTTAATTTCTCGTTTGCTGATCTGTCATTTATTCTTGAAAGAGTATTTTTTTATTTGTTTTCTCATTTCCTTTTTCTCATTGATATTTTTGTCACATATTCTTTCCTATATCAAAGCATGTTTACGCTTTTCAACTCTGTCATCTTCTACCTTCGATACTCTCATCTTATCTCGTCATTTCTTGTGTTTTTAGCCATCAACTTTCTAGTGTCCACATATTTCCTTTCTGGTTGGAATAAAAAACACAGTCATAGTTAAGAATATCTACACCAAATGTCCCCACAAGAGCTGCAATATTGAAAGAAAATCTTCTGTTTCACTGACAATACTTTCAAAGAAACTTACTCGCAAAAATAAACATATGAACTGGACACGTTTGAATACGCTTTCATCCTCAGTGCATTCATATATATATATATATATATATATATATAGGCAATAAGAATTAATTTAAAACAATCTTTGCTAAATTCAACAGAGAATGTCTTTATGTTTAATTATTTTAGCATTCTTTTTATTTTTTTAAGTTATATATCCATTTTAAATTGTCGATAATCTGTTCAGAGTTCATGTTTGGTTCTGTTTTCGTTCGAGTACTTTCGATCGTTTCGGTCATTGTCAAGAGTTCAATGTTGTCTACATATAAACAAGATCTTTTAGCTACATTCTGATATTTTTGGAACGCTTCCACTCAAATTTGCGTTATGAGTAGATCTCTTTCGCAATTCTTGACAATACCGGGAATATTATTTTAGACGTTTTATCATTTTATATACATATCCAATATTATGTACAGTTTTTAACGTACCGTCTCCTGTGATGGAAGATGCTTTATTTAATGCGGGTTGTTTCTTTTGTATATTCATAACTTCGATTATTAAATACTTATACAATACACAAACCTTGAAATAAGCGAATGTATTTTGATGCTATATAGTATTTTGAGTTTTCTCTCGCAGTGAGTGCTATATAGTGTTTGGTATTAAGTATTAGTATTTACCTTATGCTAATAGTTGGATTTTGGTTGTTTGTAGTGTGAGGACCAAATTCGTAACCTCAAAAATCCCACCTATTTAAACACAATATCGTTTTGGTATTCTTATCTTTTGGGGAGATTGCATCTCCAATACTAATCATCCAAAATAATATAAATTCTTACATTGTTCACTACAAGCACCACTCACACTCGTTGGTTAACTTGTTACGTATCGAAATTTAGTGCAGTACGTGCTCATCACAAGCAACAAAATACAATTATTAACATAAATAAATTCTCGTAGATGATTCCAAAATAATATATAACACTTAACACAAGGAGATATTCAAAATGCTCGAAGCGATGAGCGTATTAAATACTTATACAATATATATACGATGAGCGTATTCCCTATTGTAATAATATAATAAATCTTTAGTAAAACAAATTAAAACAAGGGAGTAAAAAAACAAACGTTCAAGCGCTTAACACTAATCTAATTTTATTGACTCACTAATGCTGCTCTTCTTTTTCTGGTGAACTGGCTCATTGGCGAAACATGTCAAAATAGAATTTATCTAAATTACTATTCCATCGGATTTTCAACCAAATTTACTCGCATACACACGCGCACACACACACACACACGCGAACACACACACGATCACACACAAATAAATGCACACACGCACACACACATATATATATAATATACATCTGTATGTAAGAGAACCGCATTCACTGAAAAAGAAATGCATTGAGAGCGTGCTAATCTTGTAGTTCTCAACAGTAAACCTAAGAGTAGGTGAACCGTGCGTTATATCACCCATCATCTCAAAGGCAGTTATAGTGCAATGCGCTATACGCGCTAGTGGAGAAAAAAAAACAAAAATATACTTGGAGCCGGTTGACTTAAAAAAATACAGACTCCAACAGCACTAATAATATATATATATATATATATATATATATATATATATATATATATATATAGTTAGGCAATGAAATGTTTGGTAATCCATATGGATATTCCCAAAGAGGATATAATCCAGAGAGCTCAATGTAAAAACAAAGCGAATATTAGTTAAATTAAAAAACAGACAACCTTAAGGGTCTATAGATTATATTTTATTTCTCCAGGAATGCTATTTTTTCCTGGTTCCTCATATCACATTTCCAAGCATAAAAGAAAATGGTTTAAAAATTTACATATTATTATTTTTATACAAGTTTTTGAGGAGTAGTCTTAATTTGATGTAAGGTGATAGAAAGAGGTGGGGATAACGACGATATGATCGAAATTACATGGGAAAGAGAGAGCTATTCCTGTAAACATATTCCTATCTCTTTCCTAATACACACACACACACAAACACGTGTGTGTGTGTTTCGTTAAAGACTACAGACTACGATTAAGCTTTTTATTAAATTTTTCTTGTGTTCGAACAAGTGTTTTCTTTTCTGGACACAGAGTGTGTAGAAATAGCGCAAATGTTCAGTAATTCCGAACGCTTTCGACTACACTTTTAGCCATTATCAAGGATTATTTTATTTTTACTTTTTAAATGGGTGTATGGGTTATGTGTATATATTTAGAGTTGTAGGGATGTTTTATTTTCCAAACACAGTCAGCACATTCTGGCCGTGTTCCTAGTTAACATTATTGAATGTTGGCTTTTTCTTTTTTATTATTAAATCTTCCATTAGTTTTAATCCTTTTTTTAAAATGTGAATGAGGTTATTATGCTTGTATTTTCTACTAATATTTTTCGGATGGAGTCTGGTAAGTTTTTGTGTGTGTTTATATGGATTCTGATGGATAGGTGTAATGTGAGTCGTCTGGATAGTCATGTAGTAGTGTGACCGATGTAATTATTTATGCGTTCGGTTTGATCAGTAACACAGTTTCTTAAGCTGCATTTGAACTCGTAAATGATGTTCGTTCTTTTTAGTTTTAATTTTGCAGGTGTGCTGTTATTTTTTAATATAAGGTTAACTGTTTTAAATGTTTTGTATTAGATAATTAATTTTTTTTTGTTCGAATCAACTGGGGTAGTGTATTTATTTATGGTATTTCTAAGTGAAGATTCATCTCGTTTATATATATATATATATATATATATATATATATATATATATATATTATATATAGTTTTCTGTATGTGTGTGTGTTTGTGTGTGTCGTTCTGTGAGTGTGCGCGTGCAAGGGTATGAGGTGGCACGTATATGTGTGTGTATCGGTATATATATAAGAAATAGTTGTATGTATGTATGTATATATGCGTACGGTTATACATACATAAGGCTCTATGCTGTGTATATACGTGTCTGTGATAACATGTATGCACAAGTATATATCGATGGGCATATATATGTATACATGTATGTACAGGTATACAAAAATGGTTTTGTTATCTATATGCTTGGATGGGTGAATGTGGATTTATGTACACGAATCTGCAAGTATATATAGCTAAATAACTAAAACAAACCCTGATCTAAAACTCAACAATACCAAACCGCTCTAATATAGATATAGATAAAACAAATAAGCGAACAATTCCCTTAAGGTGATTAGCTAAGGTAATTCAATTTGATTTATGATTTCCAATTATCCTCAGAGATTCCAAGGCCTTTTCCTCACACAAAGTTTTGTCTTCCTTTTATTTTAAACTGAGGAAGCCAAAAAGAGCCTTACCTTCTCCGTCGAAACGCGTCGTAAGTAAATTTTCCAAATTGTTTCATCTTCTCCTTTGTTTCAGACACTATCATACATTCTACAAACACACACACACACACACACACACACACACATTTACATATGTAATGTATTTTATTAAATTCTTGCAGAGATTCAAATGATAAAATTAGCTCGTAAAATGTTTTAGCGAAAGAACTACGAAGGTTTTTAAATGCGTTCACTTTGAATAAAAAGAGTCTAAGAAATGAATATTCAAATAGGACACAATATGCACTATATTCGAGCGTATATATATATAGGCATCAGTTTACAAATATATATATATATATATATATATATATATATATATATAAATATATATATATATATATATATATATATATAGAAAATGAATTAACTTCGACATATTTTAAATTTATTTGTTTAAAATGGATACTTATATTTGAGTAGATGCTCTGTTTTTATTTATTTATTTATTTATTAAACAATATATTTATTTATTTACATCAACCGACCTGCATATTCAAAAAATCTTGTTAAATAAATCCCGCTGGAGGAGGCATATTTTTCTAACAAGCTTTCTCGAATATTCAGACCTGTAAATGTAAATAAATAAATATAAAAATATAAATGTCAGTGTGACAGTGTGTGACACTTCTTCAACTTTACTCCTATAGGACGTAGCCCAACATATCCTACCATTTTGGAATCAGGCCGACTCCGTGAGAAAATTAAAAACATTCCTGGTCGGGTCTGGACCCTGAAATTTTGGATTCCTATATTTTCATTACTGTGATTATTTTCAAGGATTTTTTGCGACGAATTTTTTTGTTCGATAACAATTTTTATAACTTGCAAATAACTTTAGGAATAATTAAAATTACTTGCGAAATCCTTCAAAAGTCACCCATGAAGTAAAAATAACTGTTTGTACGGAAAGCAACGACCTACGCACATCAAATTGTCTTTAAATTAAGTGGCGGCAGAAGAATTATCGTTGAAGTTAAGCTTAATTATTAATGTAATAAAAGAGCCAAGGCTGCAACGAAGAAAAGAAAGATCAAACGGCAGCCAGGAGAGCTTCCAGTGCCGAGAATATGCAAAGATTTGAGAACTCTCAAACTTGTGAATAAGCCGAAGGCCTAATCAAGATCTTTCCGCAGCAGTATATATATATATATATATATATATATATATATATATATATATATATATATATATATATATATATATATATATATGGGATAATGATTTATAAATTTTAACATATTAAGAATATTTTTGAAAGAAAAAATGTATGCCAAATTAGAAAAAGTTCCATCCGTTCATCTCTA